CTGAGTCCTGGGAAGATGAACTGAAAAGTACTCAGGAGTATTTTAAGCCAGAAACCGCGTGGACTGAGGCTACTTCTCTGCCACGCCTTGAGTCGTTGCTACCCTCTATGACCGAGCACCAATGACACACTTCGTATTCGACTTTATTTTTCCGACTACGGATCCTCGCCTTAAGCTTTTCTTTTATACAAGTGATACTCTGGTGTACTCTACACAATAGCGCGAAGTCGAGCACAAGCTTTGAGATCTCTACAGATATATTTATTCCACTGCGAACTAGTTCGGAAGCTGAGACTGCTACAGGTTAAATGGAACATTTGTACAATTTTGAAAATAACAATCTTTTTTGCTAGCATGCCCAGGCAACGTAAAAAAGTCAACAAAATAGAGTGCTCTTGAGTTTACAGCCTTAACAAAAGTACATAGGAGAGACAGGAAAGAAAATCATCACAAGCATCAAAGAACACCAGTGACTCTGCATAAAAATGGATACGGAAAGATCGGAGATAGCTGAATACATTACCCTGACCAACGACACAATTGATTGGAGTGCAACGAAAAAAGATTGGACTAATGTGGGGAGAACATCAGAAAACAGAAGATCAGAGAGGCCGCGGACATCCCTTCAAAGAAATGAACAGGAGATTGGAAAAGGGAAGAGTCAACGATAATTTCGCGCACTGCCTAACAGACTTGGAAATTCAGCGAAGCAGGCAAAAAAAAGACGTTTGGACCAAAGGCATCTATTCAACAATAAGAAGAGACATCACCAACAAGAGGATAATGAGGGGCAAAGAGAAGCCAAGAAAAGGTGATTCAAGTCACCACCATCTTGGTCTTCATATCTACGATATGAAAATTCTTCTTCACTACATCAAATGTATAAAATTCGTGATAAGTTAAAAAGCAAATAAATAATGCATAGTATCTTTACCGGGACTGCGCTTCTGGGATAAGATCATCGAATATGACAAACAACATGGCCCCAGCAGCAAAACCAAGTGCATAGGGCTGCAAAGAGCTGACAAATGAAACGGCCAGACAGCCCAGTATCCCAGCGACAGGCTCCACTAGGCCGGAGAGCTGGCCATACCTGAGATGAGAAAGTAAATGAGTGAATAGAATGATTAGAATTAGAAAAAAAAACAATGGGTGCAAATGGATGTTCGAAAAACGATAGATTTGTAAATGAAGGCGGATGAGAGAATTCATTATTAGGAGAAAAAAAGGAAAAACAATGTTGGTTTGACAATGTTTTCGCAACTTAGTCAGAGTGACAGGGAGACCTTGTGGAACGTACCCTGTCACTCTGACAAAATTGCAAAATTGAGGTCAAAGCAACACTAAAGGAAGCAGCGACAAAACCTAACGCAACTACATCTTAGTCTTCATATTTACAAGTTGAAAGGAAAAGCAGCTGAGGAAATAAAAGAATATAGAATGTTTAGAATTGACGGTAGCATGAAGAAAAAAAAGACTATACCAAATTATTCAAGAAGATTAAACATGAAAGCGCCTCCAATTTAACGCATGCCAGCACATAGTCCAATTAAAGTGTATGTTTTTAAAATGTGTATATATCACAGAAAGTTGATTGGCTCGAGTCTAAATGTTTATTCAAATTGTAGATATGTAAATGAAGATACTAATTAACTAAAATATATTTGAAGACTTTTTTGCAAATAATCATGTATGCATACGTCATGAACATATGACCCTTTTTTTCTTAAAAAAGATATACTAACATCATATCTCCTCTTCGTGTACTAAACCAAGGTAAGGCCGCAAGATCAGACCAAGAGGGAGCAAACGCGATCTTGAGTAAGCGATCACTATCGTGCATTAATTAGATTATATCGAGCGAAGAACGAGTTAGTTAGATATAGCCAAAAGCATTTTAAAGCACCAAGCATCTGTGTGTACCATCTGGCCTTGAGGCACAAATACTGCTGCCAAAGTTTGAGTGTATTTAGGCTACAAACGCTAGTGGACTGAAAGCTAATGTTATTTTAAATCAAATAAGCCAAGTACGTAAAGTTAGAGAAAAAATGGCCGCTATACTCCGGAGCAGGTGGGAGAGAACAGTGGACAAGATAAAAAAGGGTTACTATAAGGTGTTCGTAACTGAAGGAATATATCCCATCCTCAGATCAATCTTTAAAGCTAATTTGAATTGCAGTAGTATGGCCAGTTTTGCAGAACAATATGCCAGAAGGGCCTTTGCTGTGCTATGCCAACTTCCTTGTGTCTCAGATGCTTTTATACAAGAAACATCGACCAGAGGTTTTTGTCTGCTGACATTTGGTCGTTGTTTATTTTAAAGCGATAGGCAGTTTCTTGAAGTTCGCAGTAGACATAGAACTAGTGCATCGGATATCATCCTTGCTCCTAGTTGCATTAGTTCCAGACTTATTTCAACATAAACGGCCACAAACGAAGCAATTATATATTGAGCTAAATTAAAAGACTAGAAAACATGTGTCCTAGAGCAACAAGGGTTATCGTTTTTCAAGTGACTACCATATGTAGAAACAGGGACTGTACGTAACAAATTGTATATAACCTTATGACCTATGCAACTAAAAGGTCATCGCGATCACTGTTAACCTCCTCAGACCAGATTAATAACATAAATATATGAATGC